TTTTTGGATTGGGTTGTGTGTTTTTTTGATATTGAGCTGCACATGAGCTGCTTGTAAATTTTGGAGATTAGTCCCTTGTCAGTTGCTTCGTTTGCAAATATTTTCTCCCATTGAGGATTGTCTTTTGATCTTGTTTATGGTTTCCTTTGCTGTGCAAAAGCTTTGAAGTTTCATTAGGTCCCATTTGTTTATTTTCGTTTTTATTTCCATGTCTCTAGGAGGTGGGTCATAAGGATCTTGCTGTGATTTATGTCTTAGAGTGTTCTGCCTATGTTTTCCTCTAAGAGTTTTATAGTGTCTGGCCTTATGTTTAGGTCTTTAATCCATTTTAAGTTTATTTTTGTGTATGGTGTTAGGGAGTGTTCTAATTTCATTCTTTTACATGTAGCTGTCCAGTTTTCCCAGCACCACTTATTGAAGAGGCTGTCCTTTCTCCACTGTATATTCTTGCCTCCTTTATCAAAGATAAGGTGACAGTATGTGCGTGGGTTTATCTCTGGGCTTCCTATCCTGTTCCACTGATCTGTATTTCTGTTTTTGTGCCAGTGCCATACTGTCCTGATTACTGTAGCTTTGTAGTGTATTCTGAAGTCAGGGAGCCTGATTCTTCCAGCTCCGTTTTTCTTTCTCAAGATTGCTTTGGCTCCTCGGGGTCTTTTGTGTTTCCATACAAATTGTGCATTTTTCTGTTCTAGTTCTGTGAAAAATGCCATCGGTAGTTTGATAGGGATTGCACTGAACCTGTAGATTGCTTTGGGTAGTATAGTCATTTTCCCAATGTTGATTCTTCCCATGCAAGAACATGGTATATCTCTCCATCTGTTTGTATCATCTGTAATTTCTTTCATCAGTGTCTTATAGTTTTCTGCATACAGGTCTTTTGTCTCCTTGGGTAGGTTTATTCCTAGGTACTTTATTCTTTTTGTGGCAGTGGTAAATGGGAGTGTTTCCTTAATTTCTCTTTCAGATTTTTCATCATTGGTGTGTAGGAATGCAAGAGATTCTGTGCATTAGTTTTGTATCCTGCTACTTTACCAAATTCGTTGATTAGCTCTAGTAGTTTTCTTGTAGCATCTTGAGGATTCTCTGTGTATAGCATCATGTCACCTGCAAACAGTGACAGCTTTACTTCTTCTTTTCCGATTTGGATTCCTTTTATTTCTTTTTCATCTCTGATTGCTGTGGCTAAAACTTCCAAAAGTATGTTGAATAATAGTGGTGAGGGTGGGCAACCTTGTCTTGTTCCTGATCTCAGTGGAGATGGTTTCAGTTTTTCACCATTAAGAATGTTGGCTGTGGGTTTGTCATATACGGCCTTTTATTATGTTGAGGTAAGTTCCCTCTATGCCAACTTTCTGGAGGATTTATATCATAAATGGGGCTGAATTTTGTTGAAAGCTTTTTCTGCATCTATTGAGATGATCATATGGTTTTTCTCCTTCAGTTTGTTAATATGGTGTGTCACATTGATTGGTTTGCATATACTGAAGAATCCTTGCATTGCTGGGATAAACCCCACTTGATCATGGTATATGATCCTTTTTAATGTGCTGTTGGATTCTGTTTGCTAGTATTTCGTGGAGGATTTTTGCATCTATGTTCATCAGTGCTATTGGCCTGTCGTTTTCTTTCTTTGTGACATCCTTGTCTGGTTTTGGTATCAGGGTGACGGTGGCCTCGTAGAATGAGTTTGGGAGTGTTCCTCCCTCTGCTCTATTTTGGAAGAGTTTGAGAATGATAGGTGCTGGCTCTTCTCTAAATGTTTGGTAGAATTCGCCTGTGAAGCCATCTGGTCCTGGGCTTTTGTTTGCTGGAAGATTTTTAATCACTTTCTCAGTATCTATGCCTGTGATTGATCTGTTTGTGTTTTCTATTTCTTCCTGGTTCAGCCTCGGAAGGTTGTGCTTTTCTAAGAATTTGCCCATTTCTTCCCGGTTGTCCATTTTATTGGCATAAGGTTCCTTGTAGTGATCTCTCACGATCCCTTGTATTTCTGCAGTGTCGGTTGTTACGTCTCCTTGTTCATTTCTGATTCTATTGATCTGAGTCTTCTCCCTTTTTTTCTTGCTGAGTCTGGCTAATGGTTTGTCAATTTTGTTTACCTTCTCAAAGAACCAGCTTTCAGTTTCATTGATCTTTGCTCTTGGTTCCTTGATTTCTTTTTCGTTTATTTCTGATCTGATCTTTATGATTTCTTTCCTTCTGCTAACTTTGGGATTGTTTTGTTCTTCTTTCTCTAATTCCTTTAGGTGTAAGGTTAGGTTGTTTCTTTGAGATGTTTCTTGTTTCTTGAGGTAGGATTGTATTGCTACAAACTTCCCTCTTGGAACTGGTTTTGCTGCATCCCATAGGCTTTGGGTCGTCGTGTTTTCATTGTCTTCTGAGTCCCTTCTTAAGATAATTTTTGATGAATAAATTGAGTTCTGCGTTCAGTGAGAGAAGGATCAGTTCTTTGTTTACTAGTTCTTTGTGAGGTTATTTTGGCCTCCATTTCTCCTAGATTTAAGTACAATCAGTTACTTATTTCCCAACAGCTCAGAAATGTTAACGGTCCCCACCAGTGGGTGCACTTTACAATCAGACGCTCTGCGCTCTTCCCACTCTTCCTGGGGGTGAGGCCAGTCAGGGCATCTTTCCCGTTCCTGACTCCCCGCCTCCTCTCACCACTTTTTTGTTAATCTCAAGAAAAAAGTGATCTCGCACCTTGTCAGCTTGTTATGAAACCCTCCAAAATTATCATTAAATTTTCTTAGAGGCTGTGAAGACTTATCCCGACAAAGACTGAAAACAGGGTGGGTTTGATGAACATACAGAACTTGTTAATCCTTTAAAGGTTTCTCTCTTTGAGTCAGAGTCATGAAGTGAAGCAGGGCTTAGATGGCTGTGATGTGTCCAAGGGGAATAGAAGAAATAAGAAAAAATAAGTGGGAGCTAAAAGTAAGAGTCTACAGTGTTTACTTCAGTATTGAATCTTAATTTTCCTGTTAAGAGTATTTAATTTGAATTTTAAATTATGGCTTCTAGAGCTTTAAGCAAATACTTTCATATGGCTAAGAGCTCTATATTAAACAAATATAATTACAGCTTTTAATTATTTTAATCATTTAATTGCATGCGTAAGAAAATTTTTAAACACAGGTTCTTTTCGACCATATTGAGACTAGCTTTGCCTGAACTAGGGTCATCCTCGTGGGAAGTCTCTTGAATTAAGAACATTAATAAAGGTTGCGTCACCACCACACTGTTTGAGTTGAAATATGAGCTCTGGCCTTCCGTTAAGTTGTTCAGTCTTTTCTCTGAACTTCGTGTCAGGGTTCACCTTAGGTAATGAACTCGCAGGCTTCTGTTTTCTCTTTGCGTTCCTTGTGCTGCACGTCCTGGAGCTTTCCACTACCTTAACCGTCCTCAGAACGTCGGACGTAGTTCCCTGGTTGGAAGGGGAGAAGGTCTGCGTCTCCTTAGTTGCAGGAGTTGTGGTGAGGTCTGGAGTCCTGTGGCTGCTCCGGGATGGTCCCTGAGCCCGTGGTGGCGCTCTTGGCCGACGCGGCCCTCACACCACCGTGCTTCTCCCAGCCCGCGCCCTGCGGCCGGCCCCGTCCTCTCCTTAGGGTTCTGACTGAACGGCAGCTCGTGTAGCTGCTACTCGCCAGGTCCTGCAGGGTCCTTCTTGTTCATCCTCACCGCTCCCGATGGCATCACACCTGCATGCGTTTGCGACAGTTCGGGTGTGTGGAGGGGATGCCCGGTGAGGAGGTGGCCCGGGTACCTCCGCAGATCCACACTCCCCTCCCGTCCTGGCGGCCGGGCACGCGCGCTGTGCAGACGCGAGCGAGGGGGGGCTGGCGAGGTTCTCGGGAGCCGCGTGGCTGCTTCAGAGCGGAGACTCCCAGCCTCCTAATGGTTGTACTGCTTTTGAAGGTTCCAGGTGTGTGCAGCACAGTGTGGGACTCCGGGAGTGTGGATCTGTGGAGGACGCCAGTTACAAGTAAGTAGCCTGGTTCCCTGTGCCCGACTCGGGCAGACCCAGGTCTCAGCAGAGGACCGCGGGAGTCTCGTGGTGTTTTGTGTTCAGACCTAATTAGGGACTAGTGTTCGGAATTTCTGCCTTAGGTGTCATCTTGGGGTCGCTAGCACCTGGCACGGTGGCTGACGCAAGTGGGTGATAAGTCACGTTTGCTAGATGAATGGAAGGACAGCTTGTGAGAATTGTGTGTGTGTGTGTGTGTGTGTGTGTGTACACGTGCATGTGCATGTGTGTTATGCTTACAAGTAAAAACTTTAAAAAATTGTGTTTTGTTGGTGCCCGCCACAGGACTTTGATAATACCATGCTAAGCCCATTTCGTTTGCCAGTAGGTGCATGAGTTTCAGCGTTGTGGAAGAGAAGGCCTTCCTTTCTTTGCCCGATCTGTCCCAGATGTCTTCCTTTCTGTTACATCATTAGCTACAAGGGGAAAATATTATAGTGTTTTGTTTTGTTCTCCAAAGAAAATTAAGGTGTCCTGCAGGATAAATTAGTATTTAAAGGATTGCATGAGGTTGATTTTGATTGCCTGTGTTTCAGAATAGGTGAACGTAAGCAGAGTTGTCAGATGTTACACTGTGGAGCTGGTTGTCGCTCAGTGGGTCCCGTTTCATTCCTCTCTCCAGGCTGGTCTCTGGTCCTGGATGAGGACAGTGTCCTGGAAATTCTTGTCTGAGTCTCCTTCTGCACTGGCAGCGGTGACTGGGCCTTAGGGTCACTTTTTCACTCTCTTTTACGGCTTTTTTCTCTGTTTACACTTCAGAAGCAGAGTACATTTACGTATAAGGACATGTAGATATTTACAAAAGCCTTTTGCCATAACGTTGGAATCAAAGATACTGTGATTTCCTTCATGCACTTTCACAAGCTTAGGCAATGTAAATGCTGATTATGACAGATGTGTTCCTTTATGAAAATTGTCTTCCCGTGCGAATAACATTGGACTTACCTACTTTCCCGTTTTGCCTCTTCTGTAGAACTTAATGCCACAGCTGGAAGCCTGCCTTTGACAACACCCATGTCCCCATCTGCCACATCTGCCCAGAACCTGGTCATGTCCTCATCGGGAGTGGGGGCAGAGGCCAGCGTCACGCTGACCCTGGCTGACACTCAGGGTTTGCTCTCCGGGGGGCTGGACACGGTCACGCTCAACATTGCTTCTCAGGTGAGTTCCTGTGTTCCCCCCGCCCCACGGGGTCGTCCCGGGGAACTTATCACTTTCCTGAGCGTGTGTTCTGAATACGCTCTTTCAAAGCTGAAGTGTTTTTTTCTGATTAAATTGAAAAAGTAATTTGTTAAATGCAAAGTGGGGAGTACAAGAAAATCCAGACAATACAGAAAAGCATTTAAAAAAATCCACTACCCAAACGGAGCTCCACTTAACGTTTGAGTGTGTATACCCTTCTAAACCTTTCTATGCATACATACAAGATGCGTATTTTCTAACTTTTACAGAAATGAGCTCACGTATATATCGTGTAGTGTAAACTTTTCCCCCTCTCATTAATTATATTGTGAATATCTTCCCATCAGTGATTTTAGCAGTGCAGACGTTTGTAATGACTGTACCACCGTTCGTCTTGTAGATGAGTTTACTGAGGGGCACTACGTTGCATCCAGGGTTTGTTATTAGTAGGGTGGAAGTTCTTATGCTCTGTATCACTTATGTTCTTTAGATGAATCCCTGCAGGAGATGTGCTGGATAGAAGGGTGTACATTTTAGATAATGCATTGAGCTTAAGATGCCGAAAAACCTTTCACAGCTTAATTAGAAAACTCATGAGAAAGGATGATTAATTACAGTGACGAATCCCTGTAGTAAAGTGCTGTAGGAGTTTCGACAGCGGACCTGTCTGCTGGTCCCTGTCTGTGCGTGTGCCCGGCTGTGCGTGTGCCCGGCTGTGCGTGTCCCTGGCTGTGCGTGTGCCCAGCTGTGCGTGTCCCTGGCTGTGCGTGTGCCCGGCTGTGCGTGTGCCTGGCTGTGCGTGTGCCTGGCTGTGAAGAGGCAGGCTGGGCAGCGGAGTAGACAGTCACCTGCTCTCCTGGCTGGAGCCTCGTCTCCGCTCTGGGCTCTCACTCTGCGGGGAAACGCTGACGGCTGTGGCATCCAGAGCAGGGTCTCTTATGATCCTGCCACAGGTGCGTGCTGGCTGTTTTGACTGCG